CCCTCCCTCCCTCTCTTCCTCCCTCCCTCCCTCCCTTCCTTCTTTCCTTCCTTCCTTCCTTCCTTTCATTTTTTTTAAATTGCTGGTAAACAGGACCAATATTTATGTCCTCACCAACTTTTGTCTTCAAAAGCTAGAGCCTGAGGTGATGTTGTCAGCGTTTGATAATAGAAAGTGCTATCTTTGTCTGATCTCAGACTCACATGGAACATTTAGCTTTCTGGATCCTAACTGGACAAGCCAGTAAGGACCACTATTACTATGACAAAGATTTCCTAAGCCCTGATGGTTCTTAAATATCCACAAAGAAAGTTAAATAGTTCTTTACTTTGAATAATGAGAAGAAATATGGAATGTAGTGATTTCTATACTTAATTTTCTTACTACAATTTACTTTTGCTAACTCATATAGTTGTGAAAATAAACCACAGTGCCACAGTTGATAAGGTCAGAATATGAAGATTATTTAGATTATAATGCAGTTTTAAGTCTCCAAGAAATACTAAAAAATCAAATTTAGATAGAATAAAAATGTGAAATGCCATATCTCTTTGAAAATAACCATTCTACTCAACAGAAGGGTAGAAGGAGGGGTTGCACATTTGATTTCCTGAGCTATTTTGTTATTGTGAATACAAAACCCTATTAAGAGTCTATGATTTACCACAAATGATTCTATAAAATAAAAATAATGGAGTCAGGCTACTCTTTTTTGAATTCTAAATACATCTTTTTGAAACTGGCCAAAGCAATGTTAAAAAAAAATAGGATTTTGATTTTTCTAGGACCTCACTCAGACTTCTCCAAATTGATTCTATTTCTAGCTCTTCATTCTTTTTCCTCTTCTCACTTTTATAAGAGGGTGTCTGGATCTCAAGTTAATTTTAGAAATGACACAAGGATGATGCTATGAAGCAAAATCAATTACCTACTTCATTCCTCAGAATTTAAATTAACTTAAAAATCATTTTGATAACTTATATGATGAATATAGTTATATGTATTAATTCAAGGAGTCCTCGTCCCCCCTTTCAATTTTTCCTGATTGTAATCCTCAAGAATTTAAATTCAAATAGGATTACTTACTATCAAATAATATTAAACTTTTCACATGGTAGACTATTCTCCATTTGGTGTAAGCTTCTCCATCAATGAAGGACTTTCACAAATTTTTAAAGGATCTATGCATCTGGTTAATCATATCTTTGATGTACTTTAGGTATATTTATATATAAGATAATGCCTCCTTTTCTAATGGGTTATATTCAGTAAAAGGCGGCACTGGGTGATCTTGTCATTGTGCAAATATCATGAGGTGTAATTGTACCAACCAAGACAGCTGTGGCTTTCCAGGCAATGTAACCTTACAGAAGACCAGTCATGTATGTAATGCCAATGACCAAAATACAGTGACATGTTGTCTACATGAGCTTGTGTGTGAGTGTGTGTGCATGTGTGCATGAGCCTGTGTGTGCATGAGCCTGTGTGTGTGTGTGTGTGTGTGTGTGTGTGTGTGTGTGAGAGAGAGAGAGAGAGAGAGAGAGAGAGAGAGAGAGAGAGAGTTTCATTTAATCAAAATCACTATGGGAGTTACAGTCACTATCTGTATATTTCTTTAGTTTCTAAAACATGCAGAACTTCTGAAATGTGCTAATTACATGCTTTGATAGCCTGTAGGAAATAGCAATTATGAAGCATAGAAGAAGGAGCCAAGCAGGTAAAGGACATCTTCTAAACCCATCTACTTTCATGAATGAGTTTTTAATGCACAAGAATAGGACATTGAGTTTATTTGGGATCTAGCATGTATTCCAGGGAATGTGAAGATATCCTCAGAAGAAATTGGATGTTTTTCTAGTTTTAATTCAGACTATGGTGTAACACTATTTTAAAATTCATTCGTAAGCTTTATAACTGAAAGTTTAAATTTGTGCATATACACTATAGCCAAAATAATCTTACTTTACTCACAGGCAAACTGAAGTGTGGCTTCTCGACTGAGAATACTTCCAAAAGTATTGGTGGCTAAACACTGGTAAAGCCCGGAATCCCTAACTTCACTTGGATTGCTTATGATGAAGGTCCCATCTATCAAACTGTAGCGATAGTCACTTTCCAGATCGATTTCTGTTCCATTCCGGAGCCATCTTAGGAAAATATCAGAAGACAAATTCATTAAATTATGTGAGGCATGATGATACTTCTTAGGAGTGCACACATACACACACACACACACACACACACACACACACACACACACACACACACGAATGGCAGGGTCTCACTATATAGTTCTGACTGAACTTGAACGCAAAGATGCCCCCTGCCTCTTCCTTTCTTGAGGAATTGTTTAAGGCTAAAGAAAAACAATGCATAATTCATTTTTACCTGTAAGTAGGAGTAGGGTTGCCACGAACTTCGCAGTTCAGGGCGACCTTCTTTTCATCAGAGTCAGTTGGAAAAATGACATCTTCAGGTTCTTGCACAAATATTGGCCCATAGTCCACACTTTCTGCAAAGACCAAAACATGTGCGCTTTAAAATTATTCAGTGTACAAGGTCAATTCATTCCTGACTATATTTTATTCAAAATTCTTGATCTCCCTTTTTATTCAGCAATCAAATTTATGAAAGAAGGCATAGGTAATATATTTTGTAGAGTACTAAAATAATTCTTATCTAAATGTATCTTCACGTATGATACACAAGATGAGAACATCACAAATATATATCTATATTTCATTTTAAATCTCTCAAAGCCATGAAGAAATAATATAAGAACGTTTCAAAATTTCTTACAGTTTGTGAAATTCTTGAATGTTAAAAGTAACATGCAACAAGGAAAGTTTCCAGATTCATATTGCGCCATAAGAGCTGTAGATATAAAATTGTTCATTTCCATGCATTCTTTGATTTATATTACTATTTTTTAAGTTATAATTTTCATTTACTGTTGGAAATTTTCAAACAATTAAACAATGTGTTTTGATCAAATACATCCCCTATTCCCTCCCTTTCAACTTCTCCCATATACTCTCATCATTTTTCTTCCCCCAGCCTTTCTGTTCTTTCAGTCCATTGAGGCCAGTGTGTGCATGGGACTGGAGCCAGGCCCTGTTACTAGGCAACTACCAGTGGTCACATCCCTGAAGAACCAAGGCTAGCCTTGAATTCACTATCTCCTCCAGTTAGTCTCCCCAGGACTGGGATTATAGGTATGTGCCAGCGTGCACTGTTTATCCAGTGTATATTTCCCTCATTCACCGGGTAGTCCTGCTTACTTAAGGCTCAAGTGGAAGGAAAAATGATATAATGCAAACAGACATGTTTTTTTTTTATCAGAATTAATACACATCTCCCAAAGAATGCAAATACACAAATTGAAATCTGAAAGATCTGTATACTACATGTTTAAGAATAGATAAACACTGGATATATGATCAGTCAAAGGAGAAAAGGCATCACGTTCTGGGGGTTTGTAATTTAGAGCTTTATCTCTACTGTTACTTCTTCCCTCCATCTTTTCATCCCTCCTTCCCTCTCTCCTCTTATGTTTTCACATTTATAAAGATTTCGTGTAATTTATCTAGCTCTGATATCAGCATTGTGTTTTTTTCCAACTGAAAAGTGAACTCTCTGAAAACCTCTGAGAAGACTTTGCTATACCAGTCACATGGTGAGTCAGTTCTTACTCGTTTTCTAAAGATTTAAAATTAAATTCTTCAAACTGTCAACCTAGGGCAAAAGAAATAAAAGCATGAAAGGTTCCATCAAACCAGAGAAGTGTGCTTGTTTGTTATGAGTAAAATCACCCGTGTGCGGTGATGACTGCTTTTGTGAATCATCGTCAGTTTCCAGAGCATCTGAACCCTTTCCCAACTCTCTATTATTCCATGTGTTGCCATGAGGCCATAACCAACCCAAACAACAGAAAAAAACACAGGAAATAAAATCCAGAAAAGCAAAGTACATAAAATGCTAAATTATGGAATGCCTGCTTTCTCCTTTTTTGGCATTGTGGCATTCTTTTTAATTTTAAAAATACTTTATTATTGTAAGGGTTTTAACCATTATTAATAAAGTGCTAAGTATCTACAGCTACATTATAATGTTAGTGTTCATTGTCTTTGAATTGTCAGACTTATGCTTCAGGAGTTAGACTTCCCTCAAGAGAGTTGCTTGAAATTAGTTGTGATCTGCTTGTTGCTGCATAGGTGATCATCAACAGATGGATGGGTAATTGAAGTGTTCCACAAATACACAATCAATAACTAAACTGTGCCACAAATACACAATCAATAACTAAACTGTGCCACAAATATACAATGGATAATTAAAGCGTGTACGCAAATATACAATTGGTAATTAAAGTGTGCCACAAATATACAATGGGTACTTAAAGTTTGCGATAAATACACAATTGGTAACTAAAATGTGCCACAATACAAAATGGGATTTTATTTAGCCACAAAGAAGAGTGAAATCATGACATTTCCAGAAAAATTCATGAAAATAAAAATAATTATGTTAAGTGAAATAATCCTAGCTTAGAAAGACAAATAGGACTTTTTTATGTATAACTGTAAATATTCTCTCTCCCCTTTCTCTCCTCCCCTCCCCACTCTCTCTGTCTCTGTCTCTGTCTCTCTCTCTCTCTCTCACACACACACACACACACACACACACACACACACACGAGTGTCAGTGCACGTCATTAACTGAAAGAGGCCATGAGAGAGGAAGAGGATACTGTGAGTAGAGCATAGAGGGGCACATGTGCCATGAGTGATGAAGGGAGGCTACTGGGGAAAGAGTGGCCAAGGAAGGAAGAAGGGTGATGTCGGGGCAGCAACAGATGAGGAAAACATCAAAGCATGTCTGAAATGTCAAGATAAAACTCAATATTTTATGCCAATTTAAAAACAGACTGTCAATATTGTAATTCTTGGTATAGATCACACCTTTTAATCATATTTCTTATTATATGATTTATTAAGCCCCCAATCCTATTTTTCTTTTTCTAAGTATCTTAATTTTCTGGTAGAAAGCAAACACACACACACACACACACACACACACACACACACACACACACACACACACACACTTATTAATTCATAGGTGTTAGTGACTCTTGTTTTGTGTTTTCCTAAAACTGATTTTCACAAATTATCCTCATTTTTTGACTCCTGTGCTTGACGATAGCTCAGGAGCAGAGCGCTTATCTAAAATAGAAAAGACTCTATGACCTGAGAGCCTGCTTTCTCTTTGACTTCGGGCAGTCGTAAAGCCATGTAGGAACTTGTCTCAGTTCTGGTGCCCTCTCTCCACACTGCTCCACACACCATCATCCTCAGTCTACACAGAGACCTCCTCTCAGCCATGCTAACCAACCACAAGACAAGCAAGACAAAGCCACCCATCCCTCCCTTCTTTAAACACCAGAACCCCTGCTCTCCTCAGAGAGCTTCAGAACAGGAACAATGATTCTCACTCCTTGGCACACATATTGCAATATCAGCCTCTACATCTGTACTAGTTTGGGGATTTCTGTGCAATGGCTTTTTGCCTTATAGAAAAAAGTGTACATCAAGCTAGGGCTCAAATTGTTGGAGCTGAAATATAGAAGTCAAAACTTAAGGTCAACTCTGGCTTATTTGGGATAGCTCTCCACTAGGTCAAGAGGTGGTATCTATGGAGGTGAGCAGGAGCTAGGTTGGCAGATCAGAGAGGAATAAACTTGAGATGCTTGAAATATGTTTGTGATTCACAGAGCCATGCTACATTAAATGTGTACTTTCCTTTTTGGGTATTTCTGAGCTACAGAGGCAACCTCAGCCACCAGAGGCTCAGCAAACTTAGGAGATGAGGTTGTGTTGGGAACGATGGGTTACACATCTACCCAGCTCTGCCAGCTATCCTAAGAGCACAAGCTTCGTGCACTCCTTCCATTATTCTTAACTGAAATTCATGATTACTGCAAAATAATTATACATAGAATGATTGAAACCTAATAGAAAGACAAAGTATTATTTAAATATTAAATATATTAAAAAATATTATTTTATGAAAATATTAAATAAATATTAAAAATATTATTTAATCAAGTATGTAACATTCAAGGAGAAATTATAACATATGACAAAAAGATAAACAAGAATTTTGTTTTAATTTTTCATAAAAGATCCATGAATGAAATCACTTAAAATATAAATCGATCTGGGTATGTGATGTTGATAAAACAAACATGAAATTGTTAGGTAATATAATTTTAAAGAACTCACTCTGTCAGATATGCTCACAAAAGTTAGTGAGTTGTGTATAGTTTGTACAGTTTTACATCGATATAGTCATTATATTTAAAAATACCTTGCATGTAAAAATACAAATGAGATTATTTCCTAATAATTATAAACAGAACTCCCTCTTATGACAGTGTCTGCTATGACATCCATCAGTCCTAGGGATCCTAGAGATGGGCTCTCTAGCATTCGCATTCTTGGGGCCACTTTTTACATTAAAGCACTGTTCTTTAATTATGTTATTCTTGAGACAACCCAAGATTCTTCCACAAGTTTTTTGGGGAGGTGCCACACCTGAACATTAATAGAGCCAAGCAGTAATTGCTACCCATTGTGACCCGGATGCTGGAACTCTTCCCCCAGAGTTTCTTGGACAGTTAGGACTTGAGGGGCACACTTGCTTTCCTGGGCTCCAGCCTTCTGGAGAACTGCTGCGATGCTATTTTGCTGCAGAGACCCAACTTTCCCTTATAGAATGTTTCGCTAGATCATGCTCGATCCATTCTTCTCTCCCAGCTCTTGAAACCTAGCTTTTTCTCCCAAACTTCCCAGATACCAACTGCATTACTACCAAGACCGGCTAAGAAATCAGTGCTTTGTGAGCTCCCAAACTTAAATGTATGGGGAAGCCTTCCTTTGTTTTCTACATCAGTGTTTATTGTGATCATGACTAGCAATTACTGTTTCCCTGGGTTCTAAACTGCCCCTCAGACTAAGATATTCCCTCTGATAACTGCTTTTCCTATCATCTTCTCAGACAGTTATGTCTGATGCCAAGCCTCAACCTTTTGCCTGCTGGTTACCTCTAACTTATAACTGAGTTGATTGCCATGCAATCTGACTCCAGTACATCAGCAGTGTAATCGGAGGGAGTATCAGATCTCCTGTCAATACAGTGATGAGAAATTCCTGGAGCAAAATCCACGGGGAAACGCTATGGCTACAGCTTTGACTGAATAAGCCTGCAAAGGAATATGAGAGACTGTCTTCTTATTTCCCTGCTGTTAGTGTTTTCCTTTAGACAATTATAGATTTCCCTTTCTAAGTGTGATAACATGCTACTAACACATTTTACTTCACTCCTACCATCAGAGAGATTTTATTATTGTTTACTGTCTAGATGCTTAGAGGGCTCTCAGGCAACTGCTGGTAAAAAATGCACTCTGGTTTCTTGCTAACTTAGATAAAAGTTTAGACTCCTTAAGAAGTG